GTGTGTATATATGTATATATATATATATATATATATATATATATATATATATATATATATATATATAATAGATCATATAGATTCAATCACCTCATCTCTCGTCTCTGATTGGCTGATTCCAAATCCGAATCAACCAATAGCAATCAGATTATTGCCTTCTTCAACCAGCCAATCGGAGACGAGATATAAGTTTCAATGGATTGATTAATTAACAGTGCTTAAAGCGTTCAGAACGCTAATTGTTATCGCGAGTTTGGCTTCGAAATTAAATTCCGCTATATTTATTTTACAAAAACTCCTACAAATATTTATTTATTTCATAATTATAATAATAATAATCAATAATTAATAGTTTAATAATAATAATATTACTTATAAATATTCATCTAGTATTAATTATTTCTAATTTTGAAACGTCACAATCTAATTAATTAAATTATTACATAGTTGTTATATATCATTCATTATTGTTACTAGTACAGTTTATTATTATTATTATAAATATAATTATATTAATTATTATTATTTTAATTATAATTATTATAGATGTTTGGTTTTAAACTGACTTCAAATTAGACAATGCGTGAAGGTTAGTCGGTTATTTTTTTTACTTCTTAAGAATTATTTTTTCAAGGGTTATTTATTACGGTTAAATTGAGGATCAGTATCATCATCGTCATCATCATCATCATCACCATCAATGTTACCCATCACAATCGTTTACAAAATACAAAAAATGATATACCCGACACAACAACAACAACATCAACAACAACATCAACATCAACATCATCATCAACAACAACAACATCAACAACAACATCATCATCAACAACATCATCAACAACAACAACAACGTCATCATCAACAACAACAAAACGTCATCATCAACAACAACAACAATAGCGACACCAATATTAACGTTAAGTAACTAACTTTTCTTGATCAAACGTCAGAAGCCGACGCCCATTCAACGTCGTCATCGTCATCACTTTTGCATTTTCATCAATATCCACACACACGCACACACAAACGCACACACACGCACCGACGCACACACGCACACGCACGTGTATACACGCATACAACACATATACCTTCTTGCTTATTTATGCTAAACAGACATGCGCGCTTTTACGAATGGCGAAACTTATGAATAAAAAGTTGGAAATTTTTTCCAAGAAGTTTGAAGAATTGAAGAGCCATGTTATTGACTTATATAAATAAATTATTTCCTTCTGGTTTATAAGTCAGCAAATTAAGTCTTACAAAAACGCACTTACACATACACATACACACACAAACACACACATACACACACACACACACACACAGACACACACACACAAAGAAACAACAACCTTAAAGTTAAACATGCAATCAAACATCATTATACGCTCGGAACACTTTGAAAAAAATGATCTATTATATATATGCCCCGTTTTTTATTGCCGCTACTACTACTACTACTACTACAACAACAACTACTACTACTACTACTACTACTACAACTACTACTACTACTATTATATCATCAGCAGTAGCAGCGACAGTAACAATCCTAATTGGCGTAAACTTTTTAATGTACAAAATGTTCGTTCATTCATCCATTGTTCTTTGTTATTACTATTCATCATCTTCATCATCTTTATCATCTTCTTCTTCTTCCTCTTCTTCTTCATCATTATCTTCTTCTTTTTCTTCTTCTAAATTGAATGATCATCTTTTTTTTCTTCTTCTTTGTCATCATCTTCTTCTTCATCATCATCTTTTTCTTCTTTTTCTTCTTTTTTTTTTTATTCTTCATTATCATCATCATCATCATCATCAATATCCTTATCATCATCATCGTCATTACATTACCAACAGTTAGTCTTAAATGGTAGTAAACAAAACAACGACGACAACAACAACAACAACAACAACTATGACGTCATTAATCGAAGCAATTCTATCTTCATCTAAAGCGAAAACTACGCAAGTGACGTCACCACCACCACCACCACCACCAACAACAACAACAACAACAACAAAATCAATTTCATTATTTTCAAACAAGTCAACAACACCAACAACGACAACAACATCAATTTCATCATTTTCAAACAAGTCAATAACATCAACAACGACATCGTCAACAACAACAACTGTTATGAATGAAAAGTCAAGTTTATTGCATCAACAAAATCAATACCATCAGCAACAACAACATCAACAACAACAAAATCAGCATCATCAACAACAACAACATCAACAACAACAACTGCAAACTAAACAACAACAACAACATAAAAACACCCACCACCACCAACAACAACAACATCACAACAAGCTAATGCCATCATCTCGATACTGGATGAATCAAAAAACAGCAACCACATCATCTCAACAACAACAACAACATCAACAACAACATCAACAACAACATCAACAACAACATCAACAACATCATCCTATAAACTACGGACAACAACAAGAAACAACGCCAACCCCACTTTTACCATCACCGACAACAACGTCGCCCGACTCATCAAACGACAACATCAATTTTAACAACATCAACAACAACAACAGCAGCAGCAGCCACACGAGCCACAACAACCACAGCCACACATGCGCCGACTGCAACAAATCATTCGCGACGTCCAGTGGCCTGAAACAGCACCGTCACATTCACGAAAGTTTCAAGCCTTACAAATGCGATTCCTGCTCGAAGGCCTACACACAATTTTCAAACCTCTGTCGCCACAGGCGCATGCACACGCAGTGCCAGCAGCGGCAGACCTGCCGACAATGTGGCCAGGCTTTCCTAAATTCGACCGCCCTGTTTAAACACAAGCGGTTTTGCGATGCGCTCACTTGTGGCTACGTTCTACGAGGAGGTAGAAATGACGTCACGACGGCCAGAAATGCTAGTGTAGTTACTTCCGCTAGTGACGTCACCAACCACAGTAGTCATTTGAACAATAAGGGTGGCAGAAGTGGCGCTAATTTTGAGAAGTTTGGTGGTTTTAACGTTGGTGATGTCGGTAGCTCGGCCAATTTCGCCAGCAATTGTATTGGTGATTTTCCTAAGAAGGCAATTCACAATCGAGGCAGTAGCAGTAGTAGTAGTAATGTGGTTGTGGATGATGAGGCTGCTGTAGTTGCTGCTGCTTATGACGATGAGAGAAAAGATGAAGAGGATGATGACGTAGATGATGAAGGAGGAGAAGAAGGTCTTGATAATGATGGCGGCAAGTATCTCATGGCCAGGCGTTCGTTTGTGGAGAACGTTAAAAGGTACAGGCCTCAGTTGATGATGCAACGGTACTATCTGCAACAACAACATCAACATCAACAACAACATCAACATCAACAACAACAACATCAACAACAACATCAACAACAACATCAACAACAACATCAACATCAACAACAACATCAACAACAACAACATAAACATCAACAACATCAGCAACGGCTGCAGCAACATCAACAGTTTCAGCAGCAACAATTTCAGCAGCATCAACAATTTTTTTCATCGTTTTTCTTCTCAGCAGCACATCAGTCCTACTTAAAACAACAACTCGAAATGAAATATAGACAACAACACCAACAACAACATCAACAACTAATTTATCTACCGCACAACTCGACTAAATTTTTCAACTTTAATCAACACCCGCCATTCCAAACGAATTTTGTGGGCCACATTTTTAAAGATCACCAAACTGAAAGCCATCTACTGCCAAGTCTGATGACAATCGACAAAGTGAACCATGACAGCAATAACAACAGCAACAGTGGTGACGTCATCAACAACAACGACGACGTCATCATCAACAACAACAGCAACATCAACAACAACAGCAACATCAACAACAACAACAACATCAACAACAACAACATCAACAACAACAACAACATCATGTCTACGTCTTTGAACATGTTAGGAAGTGATGAAATAGTTTTTAACAAGACAACTACAAATGCTGCTGGCGATTTTGAAAAGAATTCGATACGAAACGATAAAAACAGTTCGAAACGAGACGAAACCGTTATCATCCTACCGTGTGATATCAAGAAAGAAGTCAAAGTCCAGTGGAAGTGGAT